ACACACCTGTGGCCCTTTTTTTTAAAGTTGTTTACCATTAGAATCATACTTAACGGATTGAAATATTAATGCGCTCTTTGATTTAAATTTTGCAGCATTACTGCTCACATCTGCTTCGTTCTTTTACAGTTCATTAAGTACTTTTCGCCATTATTGTTAAAGCAGAGAGGGAAAAACCCAAAGGAGTGTAAAAGCTATGTTATAGTAGTTTGCAATTTTTTTCTATTTTTTATTTCGTGTACAGTTTATTGTTTATTTTAGTCAAGGGCGGCGATAATATAAAAACTGTTGTATTAGATGGAATCTTAAAGTTATTGTAAGGTTACTGAATTATATTAAAATAAGGAGGTGCACCATGACACCACACATTAAAATTGTGTGTTTTATTATAGAAATATTTAAAAATTAACCTCGTCATAACTTATACTATTGTCTAAAAGTTGGTTTATAGCGAGACAAAAATCATTCAAATGATTCCCATCATTAAAAGGTTAAGTGACCTGTGTAACATCAAAAGTGGGCGGTAAAAACTTATTTTATTATTAATTATATAAAATTAGACATGCAGGGAATCAATGAATGCTGGTAGCTCATGACCGTGCGTGCTGCAATCTATGGGGAAGCTTGTGTTTATCAATGAACTCTAATAAACTTATACTTATACACTTAGAAATGGAAATATAACAAATAATAAAATAAAACTGTTATTTATTAACTTTGGTCAAAGTAACTAGTGAAAATCGATATACTGAGCAGTTATACTCAAATCAATTTATTGTTGTAAAGGAAATCACTTAATTTATCTTCATGGCGTGCCTGAGGCGCTATTGGTCGGGGCCAATAAGTGCCGTCCCGTTATCTAGTTCTACAAGTCTAAAACACGTCGCAGTGATACGCTAGTTTAGATTGGTAAAATCTTTGAAAACGTACTACAAAAATATAAATATAAATATTGACATATAATTTACAAACATTAAATGAAACTATTTTTTTAAGATTTTGTTGCGTATTTAAACTTATTTTATATTCACAATGTTTCGATTACTTTACAGTACTCATTTTCATGGGGGGGGGGGGCTACTATAATTTTAAATCATGAGTTTAAAATTATAGTAATCATTGTTAACTATGACATTGAGACGTCGAACACCTCAGCCTATTAAATTTTGTCTCCCCACCTACAAAAATTTTAAATTAAAAAATATTATTTAAAAATTTAATAGGTGGAAGAGCCATACCGCAGGTATATTGTGGTTGTATCACGAATGGGTCGTTTCGACTGGGGGAGGACCACGCTCTTACAGAGTACCAGCGTAAAATAGTAGTTTAATGCTATATTTCGTATGTTGAGTGTAAATTTTTCTCTGAAAATGACGAATTCCATCTAATAAAAAATAGAAAGTATTTATTTGTCACAAAAAAATTACAATGTTAAATTTTTAATAGTCAGCTTAATTTTTAGTTGTGGTAAAACGGTCTGTGACTCAGCTATCAGGTCTTGAAATCTGATAGAATCTACTGTGATCGATGCTTAGAACATAGTTCACAGACAAGCCTTTCAAAACACTGTAGGAGTTGCATAGATGCGAGAGCTCTCACTTTTTAACCAATTATGAGAACTATGGAAATTAAATTTAATAGTTAGAGAGCTGTCGTTAAATAATTATAATCAGTATTAAAAAGAAAGCATAAAGGGATAAGTAATTACGGTAAGATTTTTTAAAATAAATGAACTTTTTTTTAGGAAGACAAACAATTCCATTTAAACAGCGGCATTAAAATGTTCAAGTAAATAGCTGTTCCCATTTGAATTCGCAAAACTGCTTAACATCTCGTGGTCAGGAAACGGAAAGTAATAAATATTTCCCATCATATGCATCAGCTAAAAGCAGAGAATTACTCTGCTTTTAGCTGTTATTTTACACACTATGAACTGTTTTAATTAGCGATATACCTCTATAATTTTATAAAACGTTTAACAATATGAATATGATATTGATTTTATTTTTACCCATCACTGAATATTAGAATTACCTATAAGAAATGTTCGTACGGGTTGGTTCGAACACTACGCTAAACTTTATTGAATAGTATATGTACCTGGGACAAATTCCCTGATTAAATGGAACTGTGAGCAAAAGCTCAGCCGAGTTGAATTCGAAAAATTGCGAAAAGTGTAGTGAGCATAATATTATGTTTGCTTGCTGTCCGATTATGTAAGTTCAGCTTCAACCAAGAGGTCAACCGACGAATCCAACTCAGTTGGGGTGTGACTGTGAGTAAAAAATTACGAAATATTAACAGAATATATGTGTTATGGGAACACTATTAATTTTTTCTAGGCTTAGATTATAACGTAGGACTCCATAACCATCTTATAAAAGAGAAAAGGCCTGTCCACAGCAGTGGAACATATGTAGACGGACTTTGGTCTTTGCTTGCGGCGGCGTCGTGTCGTCTTTACTGCCAAATACGTCAAAGGTAGTTCTTGCGAACAAGTACAAAAATAGCATTAATTTTTTCTTACAGAATATTCTTTGATTATATATGGTATGGCTTTTATAAAAGATAACTAAAAGATAACAACGATACCTGTGGAATTTCTGTCGTCGTTTTTTTCCCAGCAGAGGAATTCTATTTTAAAACGGTTGTATATTAAAACATGTTGATGAAAATCTTAAAAATTTTAATTTAAAAACACACATTTTACTTTTATTTTTTTATCTTAAAAGTAATACTTAGACCGGCGAAGTCGAACAGTGCCTAATGTGCAAAACTTTAAGTACTGTGATCGCCAATTCAAACCGGTAGGCGTAGTGTAGGGCGACACCCCACTAGATGGAGTGACGACCTGGTAAGATATGCAGGAAGTCGATGGATGCAGGTGGCTCAGGACCGTGCTTTGTGACATTACTTGGGGGAGGCCTATGTTCAGCAGTGGACTTGTGAAGGGCTGTAATGAATGACGATGATTTGTTTTGTCCATGTTCATCTTAAGACCTATCCGTTGGGAGATACCATTGAGGACATTGAGCATAGAGCTAAGGTCCTCCAGGGATTCTGCCATAAGGGCTATATCATCGGCAAATCGAAGGTGAGTGATGTACTCGCCATTGATGTTAATACCGTATCCTTTCCAGTCCAGTAGCTTGAAAACGTCTTCCAACGCAGCGGTGAAGAGTTTCGGGGATATAACGTCACCCTGTCTTACACCTCTCTGCAGTGTGATAGGTTTCGAACTCTGGTTCTGTAGTCGGATAGCCATCGTAGCCCTACTGTACAAACACTTCAGCACTTCGATATACCGACAGTCAACTTTCTCATAGTCCACATACGCCAGGCAAAGTGGCAGATTGTACTCTTCGGTCTTCTGTACAATCTGCCGCAGCGTATGTATGTGGTCTATGGTACTGAAGCTTTTTCGGAAACCGGCTTGTTCGGGAGGCTGGAAGTCGTCGAGTCTGCGTGCGAGACGATTCGTAATGACTCTCGAAAACAATACGTAGACGCGGCTCAGAAGGGAAATCGGTCTGTAGTTCTTCAAGAGAGCGTCGTCGCCTTTCTTAAAGAACATGACCACCGCACTTCTGCTCCACGCCTCTGGAATAGTGCCACCATGGAGAACGGAATTGAAGAGCTTCTGAAAGACTTCAAGTACCGGTGTTCCACCCGCTTTCAGAAGCTCCGCTGTAATTCCATTCTCGCCTGAGGCCCTGCCCTTTTTAAGGTGCTGGAGAGCCATTCTAATCTCGCTCATACTGACGTCCGAGATATCATCAGAATAGTGTCGGGTAAGACTTGCTCTTGGATCGTTACTCACACTTGCGTGTGGCTCCAACGATGATGTGTACAGCTGCCCATAGAACTTCTCAATCTCACTCAAAATCTCAGGTGTCTCGGAAACGATGTTGCCTCACTCAGTCTTCAGCTTTGACAGTTGGATCTTTCTGGTAGACGGACAGTCTTATTCACACCGGACAAAAGGCTGTTAAGAACTATGGTCAAGCGTGCATAAAACAGGTCGCAAACAGACTGTTTCATACCAGCCTCATCGATACCGATGTTCTGTGACATACCCAGTTGTCGGTATGTTTCAACCTCGGAAAGAGTTCTCAAGTTGACGGGCATAGATAAGTCTATGCACTCAGAGTTAGCAACCCTTCCCCTTTCAACATGCAGGACCGCACACTTATCCGTTCCCTACTCCATTCAAATAGAACTGCTAAATTCACAAGTGATATTTAGCAATTCCATAAGATGGGAGTGACTGGAGGCGAATAACTTGAGGTCATCCACATAAAAAAAGGTGGGTCACTTTTGTACCTCCTTTCCGAAGCTGAAATCCCCTTCCGGAGCCCTCCAGTAATGTACTGAGAGGGTTCAAAGAGAGGCAGAACCAGATTGGCCTCAGATAATCGCCCTGGAAGATACCCCTTCTTATCCTTATGCGGCTTTCCGCAGTTGTCATCCGCTCACCCAGGTGATAAAGGATCGTACTCAACTGCCCTATATAATGCTCGAGGAAGTCTCTAACTGTTCAGTCAATTTTGTACAGCTTGAGGACCCTCTTTAGCCATGTATGGGCAACCGAGTCGAATGCCTTTCTGTAGTCTATCCAGGCGGCGGAGAAGTTCCGACGGTTGCGTTTCACCACTTTGCCAATGACCGCGTCAATGAGGAGTGGTTCCTTGGTTCCACGACCACTGCCCCGACATCCATTTTGAGTACGCGACATCACCTGATTTGAGTCCAGGTGACGAGTAATTCTCGCGATCAAAATGGATGTTAGTGTCTTGTATATGGTCGGTAGACACGTGATGGGGCGGTATTTGCTCGGGTCTGTGGTAATCTGGTCTTTAGGAACTTTTCCAGTTCGGGGCTCTACGAACCGCCTCAGCTACGTCACCCGGCGTTATGATGACGGGGTCCATGGGCGTAATACTCGCACACTGACTCGCCACAACTTACGTCCAAGGGCCCTCGCTGTGGTTTACGGGCTCTTACCACAGGCCGCGCCAGAATGCGACAGTGTCAGCCTGATTCAATGCTGGGCCCGTTCCACTTACCATTGGTCGCTCCAATGATTTATAGAGCCTTTTCTGATCACACTTCTGAACCCCACATGAGATGATGAAGAGACGATTCTGGTTTAACCGTGTCGACCTCTCGATATATCGCCGAATCCACTTTCCACAAGCAGCTATTCTCTGCTTCAGAGCCCTTAAGACAGCCCGATTCCGCTTGCTTAGGGCTATGCGGGGAAGTCGCGGTCGATTTTCGAGAGGCGTACTGCGCGTTTCCACAATCGCCTCTTCCTGTGTACTCCTCATATGCTCTAATTCCAGTTCCTGGGCGACTGTTCCATCATCGTTTGAATCAACCACAACTGGGGTATTCACGGCGGCATCCACGTTTGCGGGTTGCTCTACAATTTGTGGCTTCGCATCCTCAGCAGTAGCATTTTCATCCGATGAGGGAACAGCCTCACATCGTAGCCGTTCGAGTTCGGCGGCATCAAATATATTTGAGCGCAAGATATACTGAATTCTGTCTGCCAGGTTTTGCTCTGTGATGGTTAAAGATGGCTCCAGCTCAGCAAAAAGACGATGCATCCTAGCCCGATACGCCGAACATCCAGTTTCTTCCCCTTTTGCCCTAAAGTACGCCCGCAGTGCGTTTGCGTTCATTGTTTGTGACCAACGCATGCGACGTGCTCCATTAGCGGCGGGTGCCGTTTGCTGAGTCCGATAAGACCCAGCTGACACCAAGCCTTCTGGCGGGGATGATAGATGCGGAGGGCTGCTAAGTGACCGTGCAGATCCTCGCGCTCGGCTGGCGAACCGCATGCTGCCGCGTCCAGTGCCAGTTCCAGACGCGCCCCGGCGACCCCCTGGCAGTGGCCCTATTTGCGTTCCTATATATATATATATTTTTGTGGGGTATATATATAGTTTTCTCATCTGGTTGGGTTCTGTAAATATATAATTATAAATTATATAAAAAAAAAGATCCATCCAGATGGAATCCCTCGTCAGGGGAGACCAGACGGCCGAGGGTTAAGAGGAAAGGGAAAAAAACTGGCGGACGAGGGCGGTATCGAGGAGCACTGCCTTCTGCATTTGAGCCAGGAGCGGTCCGTCACGGAGTCCCAGTCGCCTCAGATGACTCGAGAGGCTGACTAGGATTAGCCCATTCGCAGAGACGACTACAGGAATAATTTCGGCCGGCAGACCACCCCACATGCTAGTCACCTCGTAAGTCAGGTCCAGATATTTTGTTCGCTTATCTGTTTCGGCTTTCACGAGGTTCTCGTCATACGGAATGGCAATGTCGACCAAAAATATCCTTGACTGTGCCCTGTCCATTAGCACAATATCAGGCTTATTCGTAAGAATAGTCCTGTCAGTGATGATAGCTTGGTCCTAGTAGAGTCTGGCGCGGTCAATTTCGAGCACGGCTTCCGGCAAGTACTTGTAATACGGCAATTTCTGGTCTACGAGACCGTATTTTAGAGCAAGCTCCTGGTGTAGAATTCTGGCTACTAGGTTGTATCTGTGCAAGTACTCAGAGTTAGAAAGCGCCGAACAACCGTAGATGAGATGACATGCCTAAGTGACTCACCGGGATGGCGACAAGCTCGACAGATATCGATGGTGCCATCCATTAGGATGTATCTCCGATAATTGTTGGTCTTAATAACCTGATCCTGTATTGCACAGACAAAACCCTCGGTTTCACCGAAGAGGTCACCGAAACGTAGCCAGTTGAGGGAGGCTACTGAATCTACGAAGGGCTCATATAGAGCTCTGTAGGACCTCCCGTGGAGCTCCTTCTTCTTCCATACAGTCTCCCGGTCGGAAACACTCTGTACTGCCGGTTCTTGCCATTGCTCGTTGGCCAAGGATAGAGGGGTAAGCCCTTTATCACAAACCACCCTTTATCACAAACCACCCTTTATCACCTAAGTATGCCAAAGGTATACATGAGTACAGGCATGACCCAACCGTTATATGCTTGTGTCTTATTCACACCGGACAAAAGGCTGTTAAGCACTTTGGTCAAGCGTGCATAAAACACGTCGCAAACTGACTGTTTAATACCAGCCTAATCAATACCGATGTTCTGTGACATAGCCAGGTATCGGTATGTTTCAGCCTCGGAAAGGGTCCTTAAGTTGACGGGCATAGATAAGTCTATGCCCTCAGAGTTAGCAACCCTTCCCCTTTCAACATGGAGGACCGTACACTTTACCGTCCCCAGCTCCATTCCTATGGAATTGCTAAATTCACAATTGATGTTTAGCCATTCCATAAGATGGGAGTGACTGGAGGCGAATAAATTGAGGTCTTCTATGTAGAAAAGGTGGGTCACTTTTGTCCCTCCTTTCCGTAGTTGAAATCCCCTCCCGGATCCCTCCAGTAAGGTACTGAGAGGGTTCAGAGAGAGGCAGAACCAGATTGGACTCAGAGAATTGCCCTGAAAAATACCCTTTCTTATCCTTATGTGGTTCTCCGCAGCCATCATCCGCTCGCCCAGATGAAAAAGGATAGTACTCCACTGCCCCACACACTGCTCGAGGAAGTCTCTAACTGTACAGTCTATCTTGTACAGCTCGAGGACTCTCTTTAGCCATGTATGGGGCACCGAGTCGAATGCCTTTCTGTAGTCTATCCAGGCGACGGAGAAGTTCCGACGGTTGCGTTTCATCACTTTTCCAATGACCGCGTCAATGAGGAGTGGTTCCTTGGTTCCACGACCACCACCCCGACATCCATTTTGAGCGCGTGACATCACTTGATTTAGCTCAAGGTAACGAGTGATTCTCGCGCTCAAAATGGATGTCAGTGTCTTATATATGGTGGGAAGACACGTGATGGGGCGGTATTTGCTCGGGTCTGTGGTATCGTGATCTTTAGGAATCAAGTGAGTGATCCCAGTAGTGAAGATGCTCTTGAGAAGATGAAGATGATCGATAGCCTCTTGAAACTGTTGGGCGAGCACAGCGTGACACACTACGAACCCCTTCAGCCAGTAATGATGCAGCCCGTCGAGCCCCGGACTTTTGCAGCTCGGGGCCCTACGGACCTCCTCAGCCACGTCTTCCAGCGTAATGGTGACGGGGTCCATAAGCGTAACACTCGCACTCTGGCTCGCCACACCTTCCATCCAAACGCCCTCGCTGTGGTTTACGGACTCTGACCACAGGCCACGCCAAAATGGGACAGTGCTAGCCTGATCCGGTCATGGGCCCGCTTCACATACCTCTGGTTGCTCCAATGATTTATAGAGCCTCTTCTGATCACTCTGGAAGAGACGAATCTGGTTGAACCACCTTGACCTCTCGCTAAATCGTCGAATCCGCTTCCCCCAAGCAGCGATTTTTTGCTTCAGGTCATCTATGCGCTCCGTTAGTTTCTGCGTGATATCCGGCTGGGACAAACTAATATTTGTCCCAGCAAACGCCATTCTAACGGTGCGCACAACTCTCGGTCTATTATTACCCGACCTGAAGCTTGTCAGTCTGCCGATAAGGGCCCTTGCCTTTGCGATACGGTCCTCAATTCTTTTTCTCCAGGCTGGGATGGCACTACTTTCTTTAGTAGTGCGTCCAGCCATGGGAAGTTTGACGCAAATTATACGGCAAGCTGCCACTGCGGCGCCAAAAAGAACTGAGTCCGTCTCGCAAAGGTCCCGGCTGGCTTCCAAATAGGTTACCAGCATTGGGTTAAGAGCCCTCACAATAGCCCGATTTCGCTTGCTATATGCATACCCCTATGCGGGGAAGTTGCGGTCGATTTTCGAGAGGCATGCTGCGCGTTTCCAAAATCGCGTCTTCCAATATACTCCTCATTTGCTCTAGTTCGTGGGAGACCATTTCATCATCGTCCGAATCAACCACAACTGGAAGGTCCATGGCGGCTTCCACACGTGGATGCTAGTCTGTCGGCTGAGGAGCCGCTTCCCCAGCCATAGCCAATTCATTCGATGAGGGAATGGCCTCACGTCGTAGTCGTTCAAGCTCGGCATCATCAAATATTTTCGAGCACATGATGTACCGAACTCGGTCTGCCAGGTTTTGTTCCATGACGGGAATAGACGGCTCCAGCTCAGCAAAAAAGGAATGCATCCGAGCCCGATACGCTATCCCTGCAATTTCTCCCCCTTTCGCCCTGTAGTTCGCCCGCAATGCGTTTGCGTTCATATTTTTTGTCCAACGCATGCGGCGCACTCCACTAGCAGCGGATGCCGCTTGCCGAGTCCGAGAGGACCCTGCCGACATCATGCCATCTGGTGGGTTCGTGGCATGATCGGCTGGCACCCAGCATGCTGCTGCGGCTTGCGCTAGCTCCAGACGCACCCCGGCGACCCCCACGTAGCGGCCCTATACGCTTTCTATTACAAACCATCATCCATTTTTGGGCGCCAATTAACGGGAGACACCCAGGCCCAGCATCGTTTCATTGTATCATTGTGAGTTATTTTTATTATTATTAATGAAGATGAAATACCAGCGTGAAATGGCACCTTAACGTTATTATATTTCGTATGGTGAGTGTAGAGAACCGAAGACTCTTTTTACTGGAAACGAGGTATTCGATCTCAGTCCTCACAAGTGACAACACGTCTGTATTTTGATTCGTAATCGAATAAAGATGTAGATGTCTATGCGCCACAGTAACTACTTGCCATCAGGTGGACTGTGCGCTCATTTGTTCATACTTATCTTGTAAAAAAAAGAAAACTGTTGTTAATACAATTTATTCCACTAAATTAGATATAATATGTAAGTATTCACAAAGATAAAATTAATGGTGTAGCAGTTCATTATCTGAAAGACAATATCCGAAATTGAAAATAAACCTTATTTATCTAGAACTTTGCGTTATATGTATATATAGCCAAGGGACATTGAGTTGACGTTGTAACAAGAAAATGTTTACGCAAACTAATAAGATGTTTTTTCTTTTTATGTTTCTTTTGACAAGACAAATATATTTACCTATATACAATGTACATGTTTTGTTTTCCTAACAATTCTACTTTTATTAAGTACAAGTAAACCATAAACTACATAGCAATGATTAAGGTTTACTGTTCAGGTTTGACCAAATATTTTGAATTTCATGAATAACAGAATTTTCATTTATTCATTACCACCTATCAAAGTCTACTTCTGGACAGAGGCCTCCCCAAAAATTGCCATATAAAAGGTATATCTTCCATAGTTACCACACTTAGCACCTTAGCAGGCGAGTTGATACCCAAATATCTTTTTTTAGTTGTTTTTAGGAAGATACTCATGTCCATTGCCTTATTTTTCTGGTCTGTTGCCTCTTCCGATACCGAGGGGACGATAAAGGGTAGTGGATATTCTAACACATCCACGATATGCTTGAAGTTAAACATATGTTTTTTATTTATGGAATTTAAAAGTCAAAAATATGTCCTTTTTGAAGTATACACAAAAACAAAAGCTTCTTACTTGTCCTGACCGTATTGACAGAAGATTAATACCTAGCTTGAATAACATATAACATACATAAACACTCACGCCTGTCACCCAGAGGGGTAGGCAGAGACTACAGATTTCCATTTGGCACGTTCCTGACACACCTCTCTCGCCTTCTTCACATCTATACACTTACGCATACATGCTCGTCGGTTAAGGGTACTCCTAATTTGGCCCGTTTCCAATAAATCGCCACTTTGGTCGATAAATTTTCGCCTAGGACGTCCCTTTCCGACTCTGCCATTCACTTCTGCAACATAAATTTTCTTTGTCACTCTTTCCTCATTCATTCTTTCCACATGACCAAACCACCGAAGCATTCCTTTCTTAATCCTGGTCACAACATCATCTTGCAAACCACACTCTTCTCTTAATACACAATTTCTTGCCCTGTCATTCAGATTCAGCCCTAACATACTCCTTAACGACCGCATTTCTACTGCGTTTATTCTACTCTCGTGCTTCTTCTGCCACACCCAACTTTCACTACCATACGTTAAAGTAGGAACCAACACAGCATTGTGAATTGCCATACGTGCCTTTTTCGACACATTTTGACTTTTCACAATAGAGTGCAAGGCCCCATTTACTCTATTTCCCGCATTCACTCGTCGTTCTATATCCTTATCATATCTCCCATCCCTGCTAAATACGCAGCCCAAATATACAAACTCATCTACTTGCTCGATCAACTCCCCTTCTATTCTTATTTCACAAATCGTTTTACTTTCTTCTCTTTCAAAAACCATAACCTTCGTCTTAATTGCGTTCACTTTCATACCCCTTTCTATTAATGATCCGTTCATTAATGTAACCATCATTTGCTAGCTTGAATGTAGCGTAATTTTCCGTTTTCTTTTGTTAAAATATTGTAGCACAAATGCACGAACTATCTCAGAGAATCAATCTGATGGCACGTAGTTACTGCAACCAATTTTAAGCAAAAAAGGCGATGTCACCCCGAGGGCTTGCTCACAGACCATAGTTAATAGCTCTCATTTGTCAAATACCCGAATTATTAGCAGAATATACGGTAAACCCATGACAAAGTGTCACTTTTTCATCCCCTTATAATAATTTTAATGGAAACTCAAATTGGATTGTTTGTCGTTATGGTTATAGCTTTCATAACATATCATCTCCTGTAAAATTTAGTTACTATTTACTAGAAAAATACACATCTTGAAGCAGTCAAAATTTACAGTAAAATAAAACGCTGTGTAAGTCATTTAAGTATTTGATTTTAGAAATACATACATATGTACATAGATGAAATATGACACCCTATTAAGGCGATCATCAGCATTACAGCTCTTCACAAGTCCACTGCTGAACATAGGCCTCCCCCAAGTAACGCCACAAAGCACGGTCCTAAGCTACCTGTATCCACCGACTTCCTGCATGTCTTACCAGGTCGTCACTCCATCTAGTGGGGGGTCGCCCTACACTACGCCTACCGGTACGAGGCTGCCATTCGGGAACCTTTCTTCCCCATCGGTTATCGGTTCTTCGAGCTTCGGCCGGCCCATTGCCGCTTCAGCTTACTAATCCGTTAGGCTATGTCGGTCACTCTGGTTTTACTGCGGATATCCCCATTTCTATCACGTAGAGAAACTCCAAGCATAGCCCTCTCCATAGCTCGCTGAGCGACCTCGAGCGTCCTCATACGGCCAGCCGTGAAAACCCACGTCTCAGATCCGTAAGTCATCACTGGCAACACGCACTGGTTGTACACTTTAGTTTTCAGAGATTGAGGTATACCTGACGAGAAGATGTGTCGTAATTTCCCGAACGCTGCCCAGCCGAGTTGAATCCGTCGATTGACCTCTCGGTCGAAGTTGAACTTTAGTCGACTATTTGTCCCAGGTAAGTACTGTATGAGGTTCCAACTACCGGCATAGGTGTGACATAGACATTAAACATGATCTTTGTTTTGTCCATGTTCATCTTAAGACCTATTCGTTGGGAGACACCATAGAGGTCATTGAGCATAGTGCTGAGGTCCTCCAGCGATTCTGCCATAAGGACTATATCGTCGGCAAATCGAAGGTGAGTGATGTACTCGCCATTGATGTTAATACCGTATCCTTTCCAGTCCAGTAGCTTAAAAACGTCTTCCAATTCTCCTATTAAGGCGATACCCCGACCAAAACTTTGCGTAGTGCATTTTTCAGAGACCATTATCTCATTAGTTATGAGAAATAAACTACATCTAAAAGCAAATTATTTATGTTCGATATCCTATCATCACGTTCCACGTCTAATTTGTTTTTACATGTTATAAATACACTTAAAATCAACTTTTAAAAAACGACTAATATTATTGTATACATGCATCTATTCCTAAAACAACGCTCTAATCATTTGAGGATTACACTAATGGATAGACCATTTAAAAATCCATATTATTCACGTTTCATTTAATTTCTTAAGTTCGCTTTTCTTTTTTAATTGAGATAATTCCAAAATTTGAGCGTACTTCTTACGCGATATATTGTAGCCAGAGTGCGTGGATTGTATAGGACCGAACGCTCAAGGTCGTTCGCTAGGGGTAACGCCTTAAGGCTTGCGTGAAAAGATTGACACAGTTGACTCAGGACCGTTTTTTGTAAGTCTACAACGAACAGTCCTGAGTCTACCGGCAACCTACGGTCCATTACACGTAATGGATGCAATGTTAATGATGATGATGTACTTTAAAAAATTAAGAATTACTACCCCTAGGAAAAGACTTCAACTACGCAACGTATGCGATGAAACGCTCCTACTTTGGAATATGCACTTAATCTGCGTTTGGCATCAGATACTCTTGTAAGAAGTAACAAGAGTGGAAGCACGGGTACAAAATACCATGTTTTCTGATTTTTGAGTGAATTTGACTTCCAAGTTAAGTTAGTTAGAAGCAAAGATTTGTTTGGAGAATACTGTTACGAGCTTGTCCCAATCTCGTTGCCGATTGTCTACAACTTTTGCTAGGTACCTCTCCAATGTCTGATTAAATCGTTCTACCATTCCATCAGATTGCGGGTGATAAGAAGTCGTTCTTGTTTTATGAGTACGCATAACTCGGCAAGTTTCCTGGAATCGCTGTGAAACTCTAAAGGTACTCCAAAACGACAGAAGACTTCATGAACTAGTTTTCTGCAACTGTTGAAGCTTCTTGATTTGGAATGGCGAAGACTTCTGGCCACTTAGTGAAGTAATCCATCAC